TCTGAAGAGGGCAGTGGGAACCCAAACTACACTTCCAGTCAGACAGGGGGCATTTGGGGTCCCCAAGTCATCAAGAGCGTTACCTGATTTTTTGTCCTCGTGATGCATCCAAGGTTGTAGCAACGTTCTCCCTGAACATCTTAGGACAAGATTGGAGCCCAGGACCAAAAATTCATTGACGAGCAATGATCTGGGATAATCTAAGGGGCTCAGAAACCAGCCCTCCCCCCCCAACAACTACAAACAATCGCACTGGGATGGTCCAATAGTGGAAAATATAGCCTCAACAATGCTTCAGAGTGTGTCAGGGAAGGATAGAGCCCGCCTCCTGGCAGTGAGAGCCCCTCATGCGGGGGACTTTCTGTTGGTGTTCCCAACTCCAGCCTTGGCACACGCCTCGACCCACAGACCATCCGCATCGGTGTTGCCCTTCGACTTGCCGCCCTATTCTCGCGAACACGGGTGTATTTGTGGCAGTGAAGCAGCAGACCGATTCGGGTACCATGGTTTTGTGTGCCGAAAAATCCGGGGAAAGATTGCAAGACATGAGGGGGTTTAATAACATTATGAAGAGGAGCCTAACAAAGCTGGATGCCCAGCAGTAAGGGAGCCACCCCAACTATGCCAGATCTGATGGCAGCCAGAAGCGTCCAGATGGTATCACCTTAAAGCCGGGAAACAGATGGGAAGCGGGTGGTGTGGGACTATACATGTGCATCTACCTTGGCTGATACCTATCTCCAATACACCAAGGGGGGAAAAGGGGCTAGAAAATATGGAGAACTTGCCCCTCATTATATGTTTGTTCCCATAGGCTCAGAGACCCTTGGCTCATGGGGGGAAAAAGTGCATCTAAATTCCTTAAGGAGCTGGGAAAAAGACTCATCAGGGTAACTAAAGGGGTCCCAGGGCAGCAGTTTTCTGTTCCAGCGGTCAGTGCGGCTGTTCAAAGGGGTAATGCCTGTGTATTTGGGACACCCCCAGCTCTGAGGAGCTGGATGAGATTTTCGCCTTATTAAAATCCGGTATAAAAAATTTTATCTCTTAAATTTCTGTACCATATTATGTAATAAAATATTCCTATTGGTAAAAAAAATATATACTAAAAGATGGGGCGGTAGGGAAGTGGAATATTCAAACGGCTCAGGAAGAAATCCAAATTTCTTCCTTGAAGCCTTTTATGCACTTCTCCGAGGCTATGGTCCCACAATTTACACCAGAGGTGGACCCCATCCTATATATATTTTATATATTTTATATTTTTAATATATATATATAAATATAAAAATATATATATATATCCTTCTTTCAACCACCGGCCGTATTCCCACCGAGGCAGGGTGGCCCAAAACGAAAAACGAAAGTCTCTCCTTTTACTTTTTAGTAATATATACGGGAGAAGGGGTTACTAGCCCCTTGCTCCTGGCTTTTTAGTCGCCTCTCACAACACGCATGGCTTAGGGGGAAAAATTCCCTTTTTCCACTTCCTCAGGGAGGTAAGAGGAAAATAAACAAGAACTAGAAAGGAAATAGAAGAAAACCCAGGGGTGTATGTAAAATATAATATAAAATTTTAAAAATATATATATAATATAAAATATAAATTATATATATGCTTTTTACATGTATGTTAGTGTACCTAAGTTTAAGTAAAAGTAACAAATATACATAAATCTTGCATGTGTATGAACAGAAAAAAAAGACACCAGCAATCTTACCATCGTGTAAAACAATTACAGGCTTCCGTTTTTCACCGGCAGAACGCTAGACCCCCGGGCGGTTGCTGTCTACCAACCTACTACCTAGGATATATATAAATATAATATAATAATATAAAATATTTAAAATATATATATATATATATATATAAACCCCGAATGAATAAAAATATGTGAATATGTTTGCGGATGGAAAAATATTAATGAAAATAACTATACAATCCTTATAAGAGGATCTATATACATTGAGCACATGGATTGATAAAGGAATGTAATTTAATAAAAATAAGTGCCATGTAACATAAATGTGAGAAAGTGAAATCCGCCTACATCAGGAATATAGACTGACAAAATACTGAAATCAACTAGAAAAGGGCATCAAGGATTTATTACAAACGAACAGTTTTCATCTGATGTTCATGCATATACAGAATATGAAGTGTTGTTGATAAGTTAGAAAATGCCAGAGTTGAGAAATATAAACTGTGATGAAAGGTTGAAAACATTAAAGTTGACCATGTTGGCTGATAGCTTGAAAAGAGGAGACATAATAACGATATATAAAGTCTTGGAAAGGACTTGAAGGAAGAGATAAAGACTTCACCGTACCTGCAACAGAGATAATAAGAGGCATCAGTTGCAAATTAAGGAGTAATTGGGGTGGAAAGGATAGCAAAGAGTGGTTATCCAGTGGTTAAACAGTGGGATGCACTGAAGGAGGAATTACTAAGTGCTGCAATCACTGAAAATTTAAATAATATATATATATATATATATATATATATATATATATATATATATATATATATATATATATATATATATATATATATATATATATAATATGTCGTGCCGAATATGTAAAACTGGTCAGTTAGCAAGAACTCATTTAAAATTAAGTCCTTTCTAAAATGTTATCTTATACGTTTAAAGATATATTTTTTTCATTAATGTTAATGTAAAAATTTATAATTTTCCATCAAAAGAATCTTAGAAAACTTACCTAACCTTATTATAACAAGAGCAATTTATTTTAGCCTAACCCAACTAAATATATTTTAGATTTGTTTACAGTAGTTTAATAATAAACAAACACAGTGAAATATATTTTTCTCGTTAGGTTCAGAATGATTTTGGCGACATTATTGCATACACAAATTTTCACTTCTCTTATATGGCAAGATGAGCGTAGCTATTTAAGCCAAGATAGCAAGTTCTGCCTATTCGGCACGATATATATAATATATATATATATATATATATATATATATATATATATAATATATATATATATATATAATGTATATATATATATATTGTGTGTGTGTGTGTGTGTGTTGTGTGTGTGTGTGTGTGTGTGTGTGTGTGTGTGTGTGTGTGTGTGTGTGTGTGTGTGTTTGTATAATGAATAGAGTATTGAAGACGGGACACCACGAGAATAACTCTGTTTCTATCGCCACAAATACATAATTACAAATAGATAATTAAACACACCACACACACACACACACACACACACACACACACACACACGCACACACACACACACACACACTAATAAGAATAAAATTAGAGGACCGGAAAAGGTGTAAAATGGATCAGGACAAGGCTCAAGTGTGGTCAGAGAAGTGGTTGTTTGAATTCATCCTCAGTAAATGGAAAAGCAGAAGACTGAGGAAGGTACCAGAAGATCGGATACGGAATAAAGATTCGGAAGAGAAGCTGCAGACCTCAGAGAGAAAGATCTAGGGGTGAGCATAGTGTCTATTATATTGCTAGAGGTTCACATTAATCGAAAATCTCTGAAGCCAATGCTAGTCTGGCAGATTTAAGAATAGCCTTCAGCAATCTTAACAAAGATTCATTCCGGGCTTTTTATGTAACGTATGACAGGTTTATCTTGAGGAATATTGCACTATGGAAATTACACCTGAGGTGGGTTAAGGGACAGGAGAAAATACAGAGATATGCAATGATGTTTCTTCCTGAGTTAAGGGGCATAAACTATGAGAAGCTAACGGAATTTAATCTAACGCCACTGGAGGACAAAAGAACAAGGGAAAACACGATAACATACAAAATACTCGGTGGACTTGATAGGGAAGATAGGAATGTCTGAGAGTAAAGAAACGGGAAACCAGGGACATAGATGGAAGTTAAAGACACAGATGAGCCACAGGGATGTTAGGAAGTATTTCTTCAATCTCAGGAAGGTCTGAAAGTGGATGGGGGGATTGGTGTAGGCAGGCTTCAGGTATAGCTTTAAGAGCAGGCATGATAGGGCCCATGAGGCTAGAATGGAGTGAATCTGGCAAGTGGCAAGTTGTGAGGCGGGGCCAGAAGCTACGAGTCGACAAATGCAATATTATACAAGGGTGGATAGACATAAAACACACGTATAGACAGGCGGACGCTGATGTTACGTACGAGTTATGGGGATGTAAATAAATATTTTTAAGTCTCTAGACGGTAGAGATGTTGAATGACTCGGAAGAAACAGTGCTGGAGATAAATTCAATACACAGCGTTAAGAGTAGATATGATTTGGTCCAAGAAGGCAGAAATCAGTGATGAAAGTCAACGTGGTCTCAAAGGCGGGACCAGGAGCTGAGTATTGACCACCGCAAACACAAATTGGTGAATACAAATTGGTGAGTGCACACACACACACACACACACACACACACACACACACAATGGTAAGTAATACACACACAAAGAGCTACTGAGGTGCACATATATACCCTCCCATGTTTGTAAGCTACCGAGGTTCACGACGTATATACCCTCCCTTGTTCGTGAGCAACTGAGGTGCACATATATACCCTCCCAAGTTTGTAAGCTACCGAAGTTCACGACGTATATACCCTCCCTTGTTCGTGAGCAACTGAGGTGCACATATATACCCTCCCTTGCTTGTAAGCTACCGAGGTTCACGACGTATATACCCTGCCTTGTTCGTGAGCTACTGAGGTGCACAACGTATATAACTTCTCTCCAGATGGAGAGGCAAGGGGCTATTTCTCCAGGACATTATGTTAAGATATATCCGTGGGCTATCCATCTCGGCAGATGAGATGCAATAAATCACACAGGCAATGACACATCCAGGTATAATGTGTGTGTGTGTGTGTGTGTGTGTGTGTGTGTGTGTGTGGTGTGTGTGTGTGTGTGTGTGTGTGTGCGTGCGTGTTCAAGCAGCGGGCGCGCGCGTGTGCGTGTGCGGATGGGAGTCTCCGGCATGTAGGTTGAGTTGGGTGGGAGAGCTCAGTGTGTGCGTGGAGCAGCTAGGGTGGGTAGTGCCAACGACCAGAATTGTTTCTGCAATCAGCAGTTGCCAGCCAGGCGGCTGCCTCTCTGTGACCCTCCTCCTCCTCACGCTGACAGACCCTCCAAGCGACCTTCGAGACGGATCGAACTATTGTGACTTACTCAACATCGCTCTAGCCAAACGTGTCACTAGCGGAGCGACATAGTTCAGCGTAAGCGAGAGATAATGCCAGTGTGAACGTGATTGACAAGTCACATTACATAGCAATACGCAGCTAGTTACCCCCCTCACAGTTTTCAGTAGGAGAGAAAGTCTGTTGTATGGTAGTACGCCAGAGAGTACTTGGCGGGGGCACCTGGCCCATGCATTCACCTTGAAAACGACCCACTTTAAGTGTTCCTGAAGATCTTGTGCAAATATTGACAACGTGCAACATTACCTTGCAAGACGAGAAATAGCGAGGAATATCTACCTTAAGAGAAGCACCTGGCCACCACCTCAGGAGATACATCAAGGTATTGAAATATATATATATATATATATATATATAATATATATATATATTATATATATATATATTATATATATATATATATATATATATAATGCTTATAGGCCTATTCCCTCAAGGGGAAAGTTTACCCTGATGAGAATGAGGGGTTCTGATAAAAAAGAACAGGAAGTATACTCATCCTCCTTTGATGAAATCCAATCCTCCATGACCCCTACGGGTTTAGTGCTTTCAACAATAATAATAATAATAATACTAATAATAATAATAATAATAATAATAATAATAATAATAATAATAATAATAAATTATATTAATAATATAGGCCTATTTACCAGTTTGTGAGCCGACTGGTGGCTGTGTGGAAGCTTTGGTTTGACCGGTGATTGTGGGGGGGGGGACTCTGTGGGTTGACTGATGGCAGTGTGTGGGTTGACTAGTCCCTGTGTGTGTGGGTTGACTAGTCCCTGTGTGTGTGGGTTGACTAGTCCCTGTGTGTGTGGGTTGACTGATGGCAGCGTGCGGGTTGACTAGTGGCTCTGTTTGGGTTGACTAGTGGCTGTGTGTGTGGGTTGACTGTTAACAGTATGTAGGCTTTGTAGGCTGACTGTTGACTGTGTAAGTGGGTGGGTTGACAGGTGTGTGATGACTGGTGGTAGTGTGTAGGCAGTGTGGGTTGACTGATGGCTGTCTGTAGGTTACGTGGGTTGACTGGTGGCAATGTAGCTTGACAGTTGGCAGTGTTGGCCGAGGTTTAATCGATGGCAGTGTGTGGGCTGTGTGGGTATATTGTGGCTGTATCTGGGGTGTGTGGGTTGTCTGGTGGCAATGGGTGGGCTGTGTGTTTTTGGTGGCAGTGTGTGGACTGTGTGCTTTGGCGGCAGTTGTGGGCTGCTTGGGTTGACTTTTGACCGTTTCTAGGTTGCCTGGTGGCAGTGGGTGGGCTATGTGGGTCAACCGATGGCAGCTTATATGCTGAGTGAGTTGAGTGGAGGCAGTGTGTTGGTAGTGTGAGATGACTGGTGGCAGTGTGTAGGTTGACTGGTGGCAGTGTGTGGGTAGTGTGGGTTGACTGGTGGCAGTGTGTAGGTTGACTGGTGGCAGTGTGTGGGTAGTGTGAGATGACTGGTGGCAGTGTGTAGGTTGACTGGTGGCAGTGTGTGGGTAGTGTGGGTTGACTGGTGGCAGTGTGTAAACTGACTGATGCTCTCCCCCCCTTCCCTCAACCCTGTCTTCTCCAGCTACTGTATGACACCAACGGGTTTAGCATTTCAGCTTGAATTAAAAGAAAAATTATTCTGTTAATTTTCTCATCCGCTCTTAACATTCGTCTCACATTTCAAAACATATTTACATATTGCGCATTATAACTTGTCATATTCAAGGCAATCATCTGCGTCACACTGGATTACTCCTTCATGATAAAGTTGATATGTTAACCAAGAAGAGTACCCTGAAGGAGAATGTAGAATATAACTATCTGTGTCTAGCATTAGGAATAATATTACGAGAGAGGGAAATAATGAAAATGAATGTTATAGGAATGCAATTAAAAGCCTGAGTAGGTCTATAACTCGCTATGTTAACATAAACGTTGATAAGTATGTTTAAGGAGCAACTTGCAATGTGAACAGATTGATTCATGTTGTAGTGGCCAGGCTTAGGCTTAGTAACAAGTACTTCTGGCAGTTTGGGAGATACAGGTGATGATCAAATCAAATGAAAATTTTGTGGTCAGGCATATGGTCACTCTCTTGAACACTGTGTGTTTAATTGTCCACTTATTGAGGAATATAGAGATAGACAGTTTAATAACCTATGTGAGATGTCAAGATATCTTGTTAATGAAAATAAGATACCAAATATACTAAGCAAATTTTCTTAATTTGCTTGTAACAGATAAGTGAACTGTTAACCCTTTCGGGACCTAGTTCCTAGGCCTTTTGTGTACCCATATGCTCTTGCGCTACCGTCCACAGGATGGATACGGGTGCAAATTTTCTAGCCACTTCGTTGGCAAAATCTAATCTGTATCACATTCTCACATGAAGGGCTGTCGTATGCTTTCACATAAAAGTTTTTCGTAACTAAAACATCCTTGAAATGCGTCGTGTTACATCCTTAACATGTGTCGTAAATGTTACATCCTTGACATGTGTCGTATCTGTTACATCCTTGACATGTGTCGTATCTGTTACATCCTTGACATGTGCCATAACTGTTATATCCTTGACATGTGCCATAACTTATATCCTTGACATGTGTCGTAACTGTTACATCCTTGACATGTGTTGTATCTGTTACATCCTTGACATGTGTCGTATCTGTTACATCCTTGACATGTGTCGTAACTGTTACATCCCTGACATGTGTCGTATCTGTTACATCCTTGACATGTGTTGTATCTGTTACATCCTTGACATGTGTTGTATCTGTTACATCCTTGACATGTGTCGTAACTGTTACATCCTTGACATGTGTCGTATCTGTTACATCCTTGACATGTGTTGTATCTGTTACATCCTTGACATGTGTCGTAACTGTTACATCCTTGACATGTGTCGTATCTGTTACATCCTTGACATGTGTCGTAACTGTTACATCCTTGACATGTGCCGTGTCACTTGTTTCACAAGTCACACCTGTCACATTTACAACTAAATGTGAAAAGTTTGTGCTTATACAGTGTCAATGATGTCACTTGTATGCCAGGGCGAGCCGTGCCAATGATCGCGTTACACCCACTTAAAGTACTTTTAACTACTTTTTTCCAGAAAGTTTTTACATTGTAGTTATACTGCTGCATGGCTCTGAGTCTTGAGAGAGAGAGAGAGAGAGAGAGAGAGAGAGAGAGAGAGAGAGAGAGAGAGAGAGAGAGAGAGAGAGAGAGAGAGAGAGAGAGAGAGAGAGAGAGAGAGAGAGAGAGGGAGAGAGAGAGAGTTCAAAACTGTACTATGTTCTCTGTATTATATTTCAGTTTTCTCAACCATTCACGATGCTAGTCACAATGTTAAACTGACAGTATTGTGAACTTTCATTTTGTTTCAACAGGGGTGATGGGGATCAGGTGCATGAATGACAGCTGTTTGGCAGGGGTGGTACGGATCAGGTACATGAATGACAGCTGTTGGCAGGGGTGTTAGGAATTAGGTGTATGAATGACAGCTGTTTGGCATGGGTGATAGGGATCAGATGCATGAATGATAGCTGTTGGCAGGGGAGTGATAGGGATCAAGTGCATGACTGACAGCTGTTGCAGGAGGTGGTAGGGAATGGGTTCTTGAATGACAGCTGTTGGTAAGGGGTGATAGGGAGGAGGTGCATGAATGACAACTGTTGGTAGGGGGGGGAATAGGTATGAGGTACATGAATGACAGCTGTTGGTAGGGGTTGTAGGTATCAGATGACAGAATGACAGCTGATGGAAAGGGTGATAAGGATCAGGTAATGGGATGACAGCTGTTGGCAGGGGTAGTAGGGATCAGGTGCATGAATGACAGCTGTTGGCAGGGGTGGTATGGACCAGGTGCATGACAGCTGTTGGCAGGGGTGGTATGGACAAGCTGCATGAATGACAGCTGATGGCATGGGTGGTATGGACCAGCTGTATGAATGACAGCTGATGGCATGGGTGGTATGGACCAGCTGTATGAATGACAGCTGATGGCAAGGGTGGTATGGACCAGCTGTATGAATGACAGCTGATGGCATGGGTGGTATGGACCAGCTGTATGAATGACAGCTGATGGCAGGGGAGGTATGGACCAGCTGTATGAATGACAGCTGATGGCAGGGGAGGTATGGACCATCTGCATGAATGACAGCTGATGGCAAGGGTGGTATGGCCCAGGTGCATGAATTGCAGCTGTTGGCAGAGGTGGTATGGACCATGTGCGTGAATGACAGCTGTTGGCAGGGGGTGGTAGGGATCAGGTTTATAAATGACAAGTGTAAGGCTGGAGGCCCATAACAACTCTAATCAGAGACGGCAGGGGTTCAGTCCCCGGAAAGTCCAACGATATAAATTAAGTTCAGTAGAAAGTGACTTAAAGAAAAGGGTAGTTATAAATTCTGATTTCTGCTTGTTTTGGAAGATGCAGAAATTGGATCATGGAGCCGAGAAATTTAACTCTATGATTCTTCTCTTGTACATACATTTTGCTCTACATATTATGGAGGCAGTTTCCCCAGCAGTTATGATTCTTAAGATGATAGCAAGTTACTGTTCCGTCTTTTGTGGATCTAAAACACGCGATCTCGCACTTCACCGACTGCACATACGTCCCACTCAAAACAAAACAAAAAATTATAATACACAGATAAAATATAAGGAGGAGAAGCCAGAATAGAAAATTAGTTATTAATGGGCCAAGTTCCATGCAAGAGGACAATGTATGTATCTGTAGGCCAGTGAGGTAAGGGTACAATTAATACTTTAGATACTGAATTGGTCAGGCGATCAGTTTTGGGGATACCTGTGTACGCAACAGGTGAAACAAGAACTGACCTTTGCACAAGGGAGACACATCTTGCGCATATTAGAGAAGGCGTGACCTTTGAAAAGGTGAGATATAATACGATTTTTGAACAGGCGAGACAAGAAGTATTTTTGCACTACTAATCATACTGGATAATCTCTGTTTTTAAATTTTAACTGAATATTAGTACAAATATCGATATTTTAATCATTATCTTTGTAGACTGTTAGCGAGTAATAATAACACAATTATTATAGTATGGATAAATGAGCTTGGTTCCCTAGGAAAGAGGATTTATAATACTGTCAATAGATTCTGTTAATAGATTCAGGCGAGACTGTTAAAAGAGTCTGGTGAAATAGTCAATAGGAGTAAATGTCAGCACAATGGAGAACTGATCATAAGTAAACATTATAGGAAATGAGTAACAAAAAGAATTTTAGGCTCGTTGAACAGAGGAGAAATATTTTTAATGCGTTATCCACCAACAAGTCGAGTGATTATCTCTGACATTATATCTGTATTG